ACATCATAGAAGAAGATAATGAACTGGAGTGAGAGATTGAGAATATTCTCAATGAGAGATCTCATGGCTGTAACTAATAATATCTTATGAAATGAGTCAGATATGATTATCTGACCTGAACTCTGAGTTTCATATTATCTGAAACAGAGGTTCTTGACTGATGAGAACTGCTTCTGAAAAAAGAGAACTAATGTGACAGGCTGCGCCTGATCAATTATATAGACTATTCTATTACACTTCACAGATTTCAACCGCTTCATTCTTGAATGTATACACTCTGATTCTCAGTCATTCTCAATTACTGATTCTTGTCTGCTATGAACATGTATAGATTCTTCCACTCTGAAGCTTTATTATATACATCATCACATACACATATAAATATTCACTTTAATCACTGATTCTCACACTTTCTCTTTCTTTTTCTTCTCTAATGTTTTTCTCTTTGTTATATAAGACCTATAATATTATACTGATCTATTCGGTATAGGCCTCTTATAAAAAATAACTCTTATAAGTCTCTCAGCTCTTAGATCTGAGTTTTCATATTCTACTTATTATAAGAGCAGATTCTGAGTTTTTATCACTTCACTTATTCACTCTATAAGCTTTAGAAATACTACAGTGATCTGAGATTTAAAGTTTATTAATACTTTTTATACTTATAAGATAGTAGTACTGTAATACAGTCTCTCTCTATAAGTATATATTCTCATTGAGAGAGTAATAGATTCAGATATCAGCTTTAAGATTCTTAAAAAGACAGTTACTAACTTTGCCTATATCTTCTTAAATTTCTATTTTAATTTATTTAGACAGTTTACATAGAAATATTCTGATTTAAAATAGATAAAATCAAGACTCTTTTTCTTAATCTCTCTATTATATATTATATACTGCCCCGGTGGCTGAATGGTTGATGCGGCCACCTGGTAGTGCCTTGGCGTGGGAAACCAAGGCGCGTGGGTTCGAAACCTGCAGGGGATGCATTAAATCCGGAACTCAAGCACCTCAGGTTTCTAATAAATACAGAGATGTATAAATTGCTTCAACAAATTGCTCTATGTTCCTGGAATAGAAAGTTATTATCACATGTATTTAATTGTTACTTCTTTGTATTTCCTATATTCTTGTTATCTTGACATGGTCTCAACACCTGTATTTCCTCCTGTATAATCAACACTTGACCTGTATTTAACATCATGCAAGAACTCATTATAAGCTCCGCTTGCATATGAGTATAGTGAAAGAATAATAATAATAATAAAAATATATTATATACTCTATTTATAAGAGCTTATAAAGCTCTCTCTCTCTGCTTAGTAGTCAGATATATATCTCTCTATATTTTATTATCTTTTTTCAGTTAATCTAATCTCTGTTATTCTGATTCTTATAAGATTAGTTAATAATCTACTTTTTATCAATCTGTGACTCTTACAGTGATTTATAAGCAGTGAATAAGAGTTATCAGTTTCTTCAGAGTTAAGAACTTAGAGTCTTACTTAATAAGCTTATTCTGTAATATGATTAATCACTCAACACCTGCTTACACTCAACGCCCGCCATTTCGCCATCATGATGATGAAATATTTTCATTCATATCTCAACAATGTAATTAGATTTTAAGGTGATATATTATATGATGAAAATGTATATAGAAAATTACATATAAAAATATACAGCTAATTCTGTAGATGTTTATTAAGCTTAATAACTCACTCAGAATGTGAAATCTTGAGTGAAGACTAGACTGACCGCCGGGATCATGAATTTCACATTTGGTCCCATTTGATCTGGTCTTATACATTTCTTGGCGTGAGTCCCACCAGAATCAAGCCTTAAGAAAATCTGAAAATGAACCATTTCTGAGAGAAATGACATGAAAAATGACCATATTTAATTCAAGAACAGTGAAATGAGAGTAATTTCTCAGAATAAACTGTGAAAGATGATCATTCTTTCAAAATCAGAATGAGACTGAGACTGAAGATTAAATTCAGTCTCATTCAGTTTATTCAGTGATTACTTATATAATCAGAATTTGATAATAATTATTGATAATACTTATGAAACAACTAAATACATTCTTGTGTAAGTTTATTCTTCACTTTCTTATGAAAACTACACTTCTCTAATATACTGTGATTAGAGATATTAAACTGTCTGATAATTCTATATTTTATAATCATAAGTTTCTTGATTATTTCTTCTTATAATTGTTCTCAGTAATAGTAATAAATATCTCAGCTTGAGTTGAACTTTCACTTCATTCTGATCTCTATCAATGAAATTATCAGAATATCATATATTATCAGTGCAACAGTTGAATATATACTCTTAATAATTTTTTATAACTCTAGAATTGATTTAACATGTAAATTTATTAAATCATCTTGAAGATAGTAATCAAATTCAGTTTTATAAGTATGTAGTTTTGTCTGATTTTCAGTTATAATCAATGTATGTAAGTTCTGTTTTAAAGTTAGTATTATAATTCTATATAATATGAAGTGTTATCAAAGATTATTACTTACTAGAGAATCATATTTCACTGTCTTTACATCTCTAACATCTGCTCATTCAAATCTCTGATAGTTAGCATTATAGTAGTCACAGACTAATTTAACATATAAGTCATATTTCTTCTCTGTTCAATCTTGAGAAGTGTAGATATTAACTCAATGAGAGAGATCTAGTAGAGCTTCTACAGTATAGTACTCTGTAAAAGATTGTTCAGTTTTACTGTAGTAATATGTCAGTTTATCTCTTACAGTAATAATAGCCTGTGTTATAGCATTATCTCAGACTGAATTTCTTTTTAAGTGATTCAACTGCTTCTTAAGATGAGTAAATAAACTATTATACATTTATCAGACTGACTGCAGTATTAATATACAAGTAATTAAGACTATCTTTATTATCTTATAAAACTGAAACAGTAAATCAATCACATATTTTAACTGAGTTCACTTTATATCAGAAAGTTTCAATATCTGAATCTTTTTCTGATCAGAGTATTGTGCTCAATGATTAATTATCTGATACAATCAAAGAGCTTAAATAGTTATCTTATATATTAAACTTCACTGTATTTTAATATTCTGTATCATAGTCAGTGATATGACTGATTTGTTTATTTATTAAATATTATAAAATTATTATTATTATTTAGAGAAGATACAAATTGTATTAGCAATGTTTTGAATCTGTGATATTTAAATTATTAGTCAATCTATTCAAAATTAACAGTAATATTATTCAAAAGCATTATCAAAAAGTAATATTAAAAAGTGTTATCAAAAAACATTATCTTTTATAAAATAAATATAAAAGTTACTTGAGTAATCACTTACATCTCATTCTCATTTTAAGAATCAGTCATCTCATTATTCTTTATCTTGATATTAAGATTTATTATCAGTGTTTATATCACAAGTTGAATCACATGAGTAATACAGAGAATATGACCTTGTTTATTATTTCAGAAATGCAAAGTCAATTTTTACTTCAAGCTATTCATCATAGTATAGTTATTCACAGTATTATCAGTTGTAATTGTAAGAAGACTAAGACTAATATCTCAATAGTTATTTTTAATCACAGTCATTAATATCTCTGCTATATAATCCTCAGTATGACTACTGATTAATAATTCAAATTCAATTAATGTCTCTTAATAAGTTCAGTTCTCATCAATATAATAACATATAACTCTTATAAATGTAAGATTATTTATACTAGTCTATACATTCACTGTGAGAGACACTCTTTGATAATTCTTCAACTCTGATTCTAGATATTATATATTAACTTTATAGTATATCTTAAGATTGAACTGAAGACAGAATTGATATAGAATATAAAGATTTGAATTAAGTATTTAAAGAAGTGTTCAGAATTCAGAGTTTTAAATTGATTAAAGAGAAAGATTCAGAGATATATATATATAAATTAATTATTCACAGAAGTTATCAGATAAGAGTTATGAAATCAGAGTACTGATATATGATTGTTTTCACATAATCTTCTTCAAATTAGAAAGTTAGTATTATTACAAATTATTATCTGATAGAGTAACTTATCAGCTTAGTAGTAATTTTCTGATTATTTTTCTTTTATTATCTGTATTCTGATGACTTCAGATGTCAGAAAATTTCTTCAGAATCATGATCAGTTTATAATAAATATTTCTGAATGAAGTTACAGTGATTATAGCAGAGAGATAGCTCTTCAGTAATCTATAATATAATCTATTGATAATTATTTCATAGTTCATCTCAGTGTTTGTGTTAAGTTTTTCAAAAATTTTATAACCTGAAATCAGATGTAAAGAATGAAGTAATTATTCATTATAATTGAAAGAGAGTATTCTATATTGAATTGTAAACAATATAGACTTTGTGATTCATAGTGATTTCTTGAAGAGTTTATAAATCTTTAATAGAAATAAAAGAAGTGAAAGAAGTAAATTCAGAAAATATAATAATAATTTAAGAAAGATGATAATTTATTTTCAATAACTAATTACTGATGTATGTAAGAAGAATTAATATAAAAGAAAATAATCTTCTTTCTTAGCTTAGTTATAATTTTAGTACTAACTCAGATTGAATATTATCAATGTATAAAAGTAAATAAACAATCTTGATTAATCTCTGTCATATTTCTTGAATTATATTAATATTATGAAAGAGAGTGTTATTAAATTGCATTATCAGATAATATCATTAAAAATATATTAATATTGTGAATATCAATGTTGAAAAAATATTGATACTTATACATTATAGTGACATGATAGTTGAATATATATATATATATTATTTCTGATATTGATAATTGATTACAACTTATATCATAATTTTTGAAAACTTAAAATTAATTTCAAATATTAATGAATAGTTACAAACTTATAACTAATTAATATAAAAAGAAAAAAACTTTTTCTACTTATTATCTTTCTTCTCTTTCTCATTCTTCTTATCATTCTTCACAATTCACTTCTTATTCTCATTCTTCTTCTTCTTCTTCTCATCTGAGATAATAATTATCTTAAAATCACTCTCTGCTATCTTCTCAGAGAAGAGTTTCTGCTGCTCTCTCTCAGCCAGGTCAACCTGCATCTCAAAATCCTGCATTTTCTGGTCTACTGTCTCAGGTTTCATCTCAGTGATAAGTAGATTGATATGCTCAGAGAGCAGAGCTGTCTTCTCAATATTCTGAATCATGAAGTGCATTTGAGATCTGAACAAGGTCTTAATTCTCTTCTCCTCTGTCAGCTTCTGCTAAGTAATTAGAGAATAGAAGTATTATCAAAAATTATTATCTCTTAATAAAAAACTTACTAGTTTTGACTTTCTTATCTTCTACTTTAATATCTTCTCAATCTTCTTCTACTATTACTTATTTATAGTAACACTCTTATTCTCTCTCTCTCTCTTCATCTTGATCTTAAATTATTCTCAGAACTTCTTCTGATTTTACTGCTGCTGTATGAGACTCTTCACTATCTTCTTTTTCAATCTCTCACAGGTGATGTCATCTGTATTATTTCTATACTTACTTCAGTCTAAATCTATCAGAAGTATTACTTAAAATTGTTATTATTCTGCTCTCTTACAGACTCTCTTCAAGGTATTATAACATATCTTATAATCTGTCTCTTTGTGCTTGAATATCTTCTTCTTCTCTCTCTTCAATCTGTAATAGTACTCACATGCCTTGATGATCTGCAGAACTGCAGAATATTTGAAGAGAAATGACATGATTAATTTTGATAAGTATTGAGAGAGAGTGAAGGCAGAAGAGACAGCTAGTAATAATATAATAATAATAATAATGATGATAATGATAATGATAGTGATGATGATAATGATAATAATAATGAAAATAAATGATGATGAAAGGAGAAAGTACATTGAAATATATTATTGACTTATCAAAATATAAAGAGACAAAAGAAACACTATTACAGCTTTCAGAGATGTATAGAACAGCTACAGTGTTGTATAGCATATTATCTTCATTCAATA